GGGATGGCCTGCTGCCAGGATATCATAGAGCACGATCACTCGCTCTGGTTCTTCTTCTTCTTCTTCTTCTTCTTCTTCTTCTTCTTCTTCTTCTTCTTCTTCTTCTTCTTCTTCTTCTCGGGTCACTACACTACACTCGGCCCAGCCATTGCAGCACACAGGACTTGGCACGGTGGTTGAAAGCCTCAAGGTCTCCAGGGCTACAGGGCTCTGGCAATAGGGGGCATTTCAGGAGATGTCCTATAGTCTGGTCCTCCCCGCAGTCGCATTCGATTGGGCCATCTTCAGTGTATCCCTATTTCTACATGCTACATCGACCAAACCCTGTCCTGAGGCAATTTAGGCATATAACCACGTCAGCCATACCTCGTTGGCTCCGGGTGGGAGGAATTCATGGGGTCTGAGTGAAAGCTTATGTTGGCTTGCCTGAAGATGCTTTGACCATTGGGCGATCCTGTGGTTTTGGAGGTTGCCATCTAGGGGTTGAACCGCGTGGATGAAACTGTGTCTGGACTTTAGTCTCTTCTTTACTGTTTCATGATGGAAGAGGGCAGGGCCGTACGCAGCAGGGGGGCAGCAGGGGCAGCTGCCCCCCTAGAGATTTTCAGAGTATGCCTTATACTCAAATACTGTACACTTTTAGAAATAAAATATAAATGTGACAAAATGTTATCTTAAATCATCAAAGAAGTATTACACTTTAAATAAAGAAATGTGAAATTGCGAAACTTTAGGGCACAGGGGGCATAAGGAGTACCTTTGCCCCCCTACAGAAAATTTCCTGCGTACGGCCTTGGTCAAGAGGGGGTGGCGAGGGTTATTTTCTTGGTTAAGTTTCTCTACTTGAGATGAAGCCATTCGTCTAACGTGTGGAGGAGCGATGCCCCAGAGCAGGTAGAGGTCATCTACGTTGGTTGGTCTCAAGCATCCGGAAATGGCTCTGCAGGCAATGTTCAGAACTGGGTCAATTTTTGCAGCATGGGGCGACCTACTCCAGACAGGGTACGCATACTCAGCCGCAGAGTAGCACAGGGCGATAGCAGTGGTTCTGATTGTCCTGGCGTCTGTTCCCCATCTGCTGCTGCTGCAGCTCTGCTGTGGCCTATGGACCTCCTCGACTGCAAAAAAACTAGCGCGAAGGACTGCATTGTGGGAAGTTTACTGCGGCGATGATTTAGGGAATGATGGGCCGGTTATTCCCTACCACGTGGCATAACTACTCACTTGTCAACGAGAAAGCTGGAACATCATAGCATAAATATACAATCATTTCAATAATATTCATAAATATATATGTATATATTATAAAATATATATATTCAATAATAATACATCATTTCAATAATATAGAAATGCGACGAGATTCGATAATTATCTCAGGAAACGCCGACTAACGCGCTATATATCGCGTATGTAGCACGATAGGCCACATTCCAGAGATTTCGTATTGAACCGTTATTTTTTGGTTGCTACGCATACATTGAAACAAAGTACATAAAACTATGGCTGGTCGAAGAGAACAACATTCTGACATGAATCCAGATTTATTGGCAGAAATGGACAGGTAATAATACAAGAAAGGAAGATAGTAATTAGTATTAGTATTAATAGGCAATACTGTAGTGTACCATAGGCATAGCCATCAGGAGTAGATAATAGGGAAGGAGTGTCACATCAATAAACAAGGGAAATTCGTCATTTACTAGCCTTATAATACCTACGATTTACTACGCGTAACTCATCCAACTTGAGCTCAAAT